CCAATTTAATTTAACAATTTAAGAACCTGTTAACCCTCAGTTATAAGACTTGTTATACTAAGAAATCTCATGTTAATTTCAATTTGACTATTATTGTGTTTACTTCATAATTTTGTCCACCTTATAAAAAATCTTCCTTTAGGAGACTCGGTCTAGCAGCAGTCGAACCAAAGACATGTTTGCATCCATTAGCTACTTTAATTGATTTTGATTAATTAAGATTTAATCTCAGACACCTACGAATTTTAACCACTTCTTTATTTTGAATAAGTGATTGATTGGTAATAAACATTCCTCCATTTTTTATTTTTCTGAGGAAGGGGAAGGGGTAATGTTGTGTGTTATTGTTATTTTGGAAAAGCCAGAGAGTATGAAATTTGTAGTTCATTTTTCGTCATAGTCGACCCCGCTTCCCTTTTCTGTTGATCCTGCGTTTGATTTAGCATGATATGGCAGGCCATTTTTCATGCATAGTTATGATTGTTTTTCAGCTTTTGTGTGACTTTTGATGGTTCCACTAGCAACAGGGGACAGAGGGTTTCCATGGAAGGAAAGAGGGGTCCATATGAATAGAAGAAGTAGTAGAAGTAGTAGTAGTAGTAGTAGAATAGAAGAAGAAGAAGAAGAAGATTGTATTGATTGAGGTTAAATGTATGGATAATGTAGTTTGATGAATGAAGAGATATAAAGAAAGAATTGGGAGAGGAACATGCGGATCACATCTGTATTAAAAGAGCCAATGGTGGAGACATTTCATCCATGACTTAATAACTTAACCAACCATGCTTATAAAGGCAATGTCCTTAATAGTGTTTTTCTTTGCTCACTAATCACTGGTTAAAAATCCAACTGGCAGGCCCACATACCTCTCTCCCTTGCTCCTCCTTAAAGCTAAGTACAATCATTTTCCTTTTCATTTCCTCCTAAAGGTCTCTTTTAAAAATCATTTGTATATTACTTTCAAAGCTTTAGCTTGCGATTCATACAAGCAAATATCACTTTCCTCCCTTCCACATCAACTTGGTGGTTCATTCGCATCAATCACCACTTCTCTCCCATCCCTTTCTCTAGCCCCCTAGCTAACTATATATATTTTTATTCCATATACGTATTCATACAAACATTTTAAATGCCATTTTAAACAAACCCTTTTTTCTTCACCCTTCCACGCCACACATCATACAATTACTATATTTGTGTTTTTTAAAAATGGCAAGTCATGAGTTTAGATACTAATCCTCAACTCCTCCTAATAATGCAACAGGGACAAATTATGCAGATAATTGCACTGTTCACTGTTGCAAATTTAATGACTTGCTGCTACTCATTATATTTTGCTCACAAAATAAAAAGCTATTGATTATTGAACTATTTGGATCTCTATCAGAAGAGAAAATATTGTGCCCATTTTGTTTTAAAAAATTGGGAGTGATTGGTTATGCAACTTGCGACATGGAGTCTTTATCCAATGATTATGCAGACAGAGAAATGATATTCGGATTCAGTAATGTATGTTGCAAAATCTTGATGACGATATGAAGATAGAGGAGATTACTGAAGTTCAGCGCATGGTTACTTTAAGAGGCAATGTCATTGTGTAATAGCAACATGATCTCACCTCCATAACTAATGGGGCTTTTCGATGGAGGTATCATTGAAACACGATAATAGGCCACTTTAGGGCTAAGCCGACAATCTATCTTTCCTGATTCTACTGCTGTGGGTCACCTCTTCCCAGATCATTAATAACCTACTTCCACAATCTATCTTTTCAATTATCTACTACTACTGTTATATTATCCCAATTACCATTCTTTCTATTAAATTCTTTTCAATTTCAACACCCATTCATAAATTAAATGATTCTTTTTCATGTGTTTTTCAGATGTTTTAATGAATATTACAAATTTAATTAATATTTATAACCAATCATTCCAACCTGGTAATCCAATCATAACACTCTTTTAGCACACTTTACACATATGACTCGAATCTGCTATCTCTTACTAAAAGAGAATTAGGTTCTTTATCACTTCGGAAAAAAAAAATAGAGATAACTGAAAGCGACATATATTTTGTTTCATTCAAAACGATAAGAGAAAAAAAAAAATCTCACTTATGTTATGTGCACGTACCAAATACAACAACAATAATCATTATTATTATTATCATCACGAAAAATTAAAATTAGAGTGAGAAGAAAGGAAAACCACTCTTCACCTGAGGCAAGTTGATTTGGTCCGCACAGGTTCTGGAAAAATGAGTTATAAGTCGTATTAGAGTGTTGAAATTGATGAGAAATGTTTAGATAATAACCAATGATTATTGGTTTTATATTGTATGTAATAATTGTAACTGGTGAAATATAGAACCTGAGATTTACAAGTCCCATTTAGGTTATTAACTTTAATTGATGTCAATCATGTCACTTATACACGTTTTTCCAACACCATTAATCAATTTATTATTCCTTCTTAATTAAATGAAAAGACAATCAAGTCAAAATAATTAGTAGTTTGGGCTTGCTTAAATCATAAAACAACAACTCATTTTTCAGTCTTTCTCACACTTGTTCTATACATTATATTGCTTTTGAAGATTCTGTTGGAAGAAATAATAAAGATTTTAAATATCTGTTTCTTCTCGAATATATGAAATCTACGCTATCCCACCTCCCACCATCACCAATATATTTACTATGTGATATTTATATATATATATATATATATATATATATATATATATATATATATATATATATATATTGAATCTGCACGAGGACTTAGAGATTTCATTTTAATATCCCATTATTAAGAAAAGGATATGATATTAATCAAGAAAATTCATATTACTGTAAAAATGTGTCCAATGATACTTTTTACCTTTTCCCTTTTCCTCTAAATCCATCAATAGTTACACTGAACAATTAACTTATTGATGTAGGGAAGGACTGAAACCATTTACAAATCACAATCATTTAAATGCACAATTTTTAAAATAGCAAATTGGTTAAATATGTTTTTTATTTTTATATTTTAAAAATTAATTAATTAATCTTTAAATTTTTTAAAAAATGTTAATAAATGAATTGAATTGAGTTTTCATTTAATAGATCAAGATGAATTAAAGTAAACTTTATTAAGGTTGGGCCAAATTAATAAGAACGCATATAGATTGTTGGCATATTTAAGGATAAATTATATGTTGGCTTTCATAAAAACGTCTTAAATTTAGTCATTTCAAGATATTTGTTTACACTAGCTTTAACTTTTTAATCTGGTTCCTTTATTAACTTTGATCCATATTATAATTTGAGCATTAAAACTTTTACAATGACAATTTTTACTATCATGGGGCTTGAATGGAGGTCATTACCAGAAAGTTAGCATGCTCTTTTTTCTAACTCAAAATATTAAATTTTAGTTGAAAGATTATCCTATTTTAATATATATATATATATATATATATATATATATATATATATATATTATTCTCATGACATATTTAAAAGACAAAATTATCTGTTCTTGATACCATACCGTATTAATGTTGGTATATTTTTGAGCCCTAACTCACCGTTTAGAACTCAATTCCAGCACTCAACTTTCTCCATGAGGCTGGGAGGTATATGATAGGAACATATGGTTACTTTTTCTTGGACTTGTGCATCACACTAACAAATAACTTGAGTGTCTCAGTGAATATAACATCTCATTTAAAATACATAAAGGAGAGAGGGAGATATTATGATATCTATAGATATACATGAGAATCTAACGATAATGCATTGTTCAAAACAAAATCAATAATGCATGCCTATGGCTGTGGAATAAACGTTGCTTAAAAACTAAAACAAGTTTCTTTAAATTGTAAGGTAGTTAATTAACTATATGTATTTTGAAATCGTGGCCTATGAAGAAAAAAATAATATTATTCCATTAATAATATAAATTATTATTTTCGTTGATAACACAATCTATATATAATAAAGTTTAAACAATCATAAAATGATCAGCAGGGCAAAAGTATTATATTTTGTTCGATTCCACTCGAGATCAGATACAAGCTTAAATTTGTAGCAAATAAGTGTTTGATTGATTTAATTTGTATAAATAATTACTCATGTTTACTAGTTTTTTTTTTTTTTTAATCTATTATTTCCTAGAACACACTAGACAAGTAAGATGAGAATTGTTTGTCTGCGCAGTTTTTTTGTCTAATTGCAGATATTTGTGTTGTGTTCCATTCCACTTCTATAAATATTCACATACAATTGATATACAGAAATAGTATAAATCTGTAATCGGGAAAGAAAACGTGCGTGAAGAAAAGGATCTAAGCGTGAGTCACTGGACTCTTTGGAATTATTATTTTTATAAGAGAGAGCATCTATTTTTCTGATCCATTACAGAATAACATGAATAAATAGATGAAGGCACTGTAATTTAAATAATTTGTGATTAATATTTACCACCGATCACTCTCTCTTACGTAGTAGATGTAGATGCTATTGATGTAATGACGTTGCCGAATAGTTTGCGACAGGGAAGCGCGCGAAACAACCGGCAATATTCTTTCTTTCTCTCGTTTTCACCTTCCGCTAGCTTCTGCTCGGGTTGTTATTTATTTTGGGAGTTTTGTGGAAGTGGGAAAGAGTTGTGAAGTGTGTGAGGAAAGTTTGGGTACGTAATACCACCCATGTACGTAGAAATGGTAACACTGTAGCTAGCACAAGTTGATGAAACGTCATTTTAGGGTTAGATGGAGATGCGGGTCCCGTTTTATAGGTCCCATGAGGTTGTAAATGTCGGCTCTGGCCTTGTGTGCTTCCCCTCTCACTTTTAAAGGAAGGGGAAGAGAGAGAGAGAGGGAGATAACTACTGCATACAAATTAATCCCCGCATTTGATCCAGGCAATAAAAGGCCACTGAGGGAACAAGACTAAAAGACACGAATAGAAGAAGACTACATAGCTAGCTACAAAGAAATTAAGAATTGAGATGGGTCACCACTCTTGCTGCAACCAACAAAAGGTTAAGAGAGGCCTTTGGTCTCCCGAGGAAGATGAGAAGCTCATCAGATACATTACCACTCACGGCTATGGCTGCTGGAGTGAAGTTCCAGAGAAAGCTGGTCTCTCTTCTTATTTGTTTATTTATTTTATAAAAAAACAATTCTTCATCATCTCTTCTTTCCTTGATGATGTATAGAATTGCCCTAGACTTATTTTTCTGATGAAATCAACGTTTTCTTTTCGTTTTGTTTTATTTATGATTGATGTTCAATTCCTTCGCGCGGTTTTCAGGGCTTCAAAGGTGTGGCAAGAGTTGTCGTCTGAGATGGATTAATTATTTGAGGCCTGATATTAGAAGAGGAAGGTTTACACCTGAAGAAGAGAAGTTAATTATAAGTCTTCACGGGGTTGTTGGCAACAGGTTTGAATCACACTTCACTACAGACACTAGCTAACGCTCTATCAAGCATTTTCAGTTGTATGATCAGTCCATTTTTCCATGTTTGCTCTTGCATTTTCTGTCCAATTAGTACCACGTGTGTGTCTTTCTTCTTTCTTCTTTCTTCTTTCTATCAAACAGCCAAAATTTGGCTGAGTCGACTTCTATAGCTGCCAACCCTATAAATTTTCCAAATTGATTAGTATAAGATATTTGTAAAAACTATTGCAATGGATCAAATTAATTGGAACATGATGATTAGAGCAATTAATCATACATAGTACTATGTAGTTAATTTTCTGTAGAACGAGAAGAGTAAGCTATCAGAAATGGATTTGAGACCTGTAGTTATGTTACTCATTGCAAAAACAAACCATAGGAATAAGTTGTAATTAAATCAGCTATATATGGTTGTTAATGAATCAATCTTAAGGAGCCATCAACCTCGGAGCCACAGTTTGGGAGAAGTTAAGCAGGCAATTTTGTCAGTTGAAATTTACATATCCGTTTTCAAGTGTGTGTGCAGTCCCAGCCTCTCATGTCGACATTGATTAATAATATATTTATTGAAATCCTCTACAAAAGCAACTAAATTGTTATTATATTATCCATTTCTTGCCACGTTTTTCTCGACACGTTTGCTTCCAATTTACGATTTTACACTGAGACATCTTAAATAAAAAGATACTGCTTTTCATAATTTAAACATTAATAGGATATACATGTACTCGATTAATTAATTATACATGTTCTTTCTTTTGTTTGGGAAATGCAGATGGGCACATATTGCAAGCCACTTACCGGGTAGAACTGACAATGAAATAAAGAACTATTGGAATTCTTGGATCAAAAAGAAAATTAGAAAGCCTTCGGTGACTTCATCAATCACCACTACACAAAGCGTTGATCACCACCCCCAGTTCAATTATCATTCCAATCAACTAGATCACTTCGGCAACCAAGACAGTGTAACAACAAAGCCACCGGTGCAAGAAACCATATTTTCCTCGACATGCCCCTTATTTATGTTTGACACTAGTTCATTAGACCAAGGGACAACAACAGTAGACACCACAAATGTTCGAGCAGAACTCTTCCAAGATTCATTGGGTTTGAGCAGTGAAACGTGGAACTTGAGCCACCACCAAGTCCACGCTCTTCCTCCTCAACCAGCAGCAGCAACTTTTACAGCAGCTACAGTCATTGATACTACAAATTATCTGCCACCATTGATAGAGAACGTGGAAAACATGGTGCCAAACATGGAAGTACAGTCTTGTAGTATAGACGAGGAAGGAGAAATGGCACTGGAGTGTTTGCGGAGACAAGAGTTGAATGAGTGGGTGGAGAATCATCAACATTGTCCCAGCTTTCTTTTCTGGGACAACGTTGAAGGACAACTTGGGGGGGAAGAACTAGCACCAAACACGTCAAATATTGGAACCAATACACTTTCACCTTTTCCTTCTTCTTTATGACTGCGATCGAGGACTGTCCCCACTACTCTTTTTCTTATGCCCCTTCTAACCAGGAAGAGTTTTCAGGAATGGTCCAGGCCAGGCTGAAACTTATTCAGAGATTGCTTTTTTTTTTCCAACCTCGCTTTGGATTGCTGATTGGAAAGATTGCTAAAAATGAGTGAAGATAATATTATCTTATATATATATATGTAACCAAGAGTGAAGTGTTTATTGAGTGTTTTGACAAGAAGAGGAAAAAAAAGAGAAAGAAATAAAATAATAAAAGGCGAATGGAAAGTAGGAAAGTTTGATTTTGAAGATATGAAAAAATATTGAATTTGTTATTAATTTGACTGTACATTTGGTGGCTTTTGAATATAATAATGGATTTGCCTTCTTGTTTTTTTTAATGTAACAACCAACCCCCTGTCTTGTCTGTCTTATAGACAAAGCCTTGGCCTTTACCTTACCACCACACATGCAAGTCCCAAAAGTTTGCAGTTCGCGTTGCAGCTGTTCCTTATTGAAATTAAATGTCATGCCAATGTAAATATACCTTGTACTTAAAGAGTAGTATCCAACCATTCATATAGATTGTTCTCATCTCTAATCTAATATCCTCAATAAAGTAATGCTAAATAATTTCACAGATTGAGTTTACTTTTCTTTTTTCAAAATTCAATTATTGTAGTTAAACTTTATGGTATGGATCTGTCAGCTAAAATATATGGAATATTTGGTTTACCTATGTTATAATTTTCTATTTAATTACATCCATTTGACTATATTAATTTATTATGAAGGACTATTCAAATTTTGATCAATTTTATTATCTATATCTTTATTTCATAATTAATTATAGGTTCATGTCGTTGTTTGAAACTGCAAATATGTTGAAATGTAAATTGAATATGTTATGAATAAATATAGTTCGAGTGATAATAACATTTTTTTTATTACTCAAATTCAAATTCTTTGTTTAAAAAAATTGTAAGAGAATCAATAGAAAATAATAAAGAAAAAAAGAAGAAGAAAAAGTTGAGCTATTTAAAGAACATAAAGAATAATAGTAATAATGAGATTAATATATATCTTAAACTAATAGAAAACTTTACTTTTATATATATATATTCACACAGGTTTCACAATTTTTCGGGTTGAACTAAGGTGATTTTAAACCAAATTTATCAGCTATTTTATATTATATTAGAATAGTCATAGTAGTTTACTGTATTGGACTCATTTGGATACATCTATCTGTTATAGTTATTTTTAAATTATTTTATTTTGATTATATAATAAAAATGCTGAAAACACTACATAAGTAAGTAGAAGCTGTTTGTTAATTGACAATTAAAGAAAATGGACCAAAAGAAGACTCATCAGGTGGGCCAATTTAAAACCCAAGAAACAAACGGGCTCTCAAATGAGTCCATGTGCTGGAGTAAATAAGCGAAGTCTGAAACTCGAGCCAACTATAAGCCCAAAACGAAAGCCCTAACACATGGACAGAAGTCCATTATAAACCATACGAAAGCGGAATTAGGGTTTATACGCAGCAAGCGGCAAAGGCAAGGGCGTAGTGCGTCAGCAGAGTTTCTTCCCTTCGCCGCGGCACAGTAGCAACCATGGTATCCCAACTTCATCTTCTTAGCTGTTTCTTTCATGGATAACGATTGAAAAATGTTTGCATTGTTCGAAGTGGTTTATGCAAATACTTAATATAATTTCTTTTCCGTTAAATTGTGAAGATCATTCCTGAGAAGAACCGTCGTGAGATCTGCAAATACCTCTTCCAAGGTACGCTGACGTTCTCTCGTGTAGTTTTTGGTAGGGTTTGTTGTGTTCAATTTGTGACGTGGTTGATTTTGATTTAGAGGGAGTTTGCTATGCGAAGAAGGACTTCAATCTGGCGAAGCACCCGGATATTGATGTTCCAAATCTTCAGGTCATAAAATTGATGCAGAGTTTCAAGTCTAGGGAGTATGTGCGCGAGACATTTGCATGGATGCATTATTACTGGTTCCTCACCAACGATGGAATTGAGTTCCTCAGGACATACCTCAACCTTCCCTCAGAAATTGTTCCTGCCACTCTCAAGAAGCAGGCCAAACCCGCCGGAAGACCATTCGGTGGCCCACCTGGTGATCGCCCCAGGTAATATAACATTGTTAGTCATCGTTATTGCAATGAATTGAAATCTTGCTGTGTTGGATTTTATTGTGCTCATGATTTTTTTTTAACAGAGGTCCACCACGCTTTGATGGAGAAAGGAGATTCGGTGGCGATAGAGATGGATACCGTGGAGGTCCCCGGGGACCTGGTGGTGATTTTGGAGACAAGGGTGGAGCTCCTGCTGACTACAGACCTTCATTTGGGGTAACTTATTGCTATATATCAATCGTATTATGTGTCTATTTGTTTATCTTTACGGTTATCGATGTGTCTGTCTGTTAGTTTATTTTAATTTTAAGGGTGTTCATGATTCTATATTGAATTTCCATTTTAGACATATGAACATTATCACATTCCAACAAAATTAGAGTGAAATTTGTTTGAGATACTTAGAGACTCAACTACGGTGTCCTTGATATTAGAAACAAAATGAAATACTAAGTGGACTCTGAAAAGAGAGTCCTTGATATTAGAAACAAAATGAAATACTAAGTGGATTCTGAAAAGAGGGTGTCCTTGATATTAGAAACAAAATGAAATACTAAGTGGAGTTGTCAAAGGCTTGTGTATCTACTGTATGAAGAGGAGTTGATTCTGTAGCATAGTAAATTGATAAGTTAATGGGTAAGAAATGCTAGGAGAAACATATTCAGTTTAAAAATATGTCATGTTTCTCCTGCTCTTAATTTTTTGTATGAATTAAATAATTCTTTAAAATTTTAACCAATTTTCTTTGGTAATGTTTAAGGTGTCAATGTGTCATTACTTTACGGTGTAGTTTTCTTTATAAACCTGATTTTTCCTTGTGTGAGAATCATAAATTTTAAGATTCTAGAATTGAATTAGGAATATAAGAGGTTTATAAGTAATAACATATTCTTTTCATGAACCTGTGTTAATTTGTATATATTTGATAATGTATATGAAATAACTGATAGCAAATTTGTAGTAGCTGGTTCTTGTGTGGATAGCTTTCGTTAGTTATTATTTAAATCTGAAATGTATGATTGACTACTGTCAGGGTCCTGGTGGAAGGCCTGGTTTCGGTCGTGGTGCTGGTGGTTTTGGAGCACCAACTAGTTCAAACATTCCTTAAATATAATGATTTGTGCTCTAGATTTTTGTAGTTTTGGCTGTCATTGGATTTAATAGTGGCTCCCCTCTCCCCAAAGTTGTTTGTTCTGTCTGACATTTTACTTCACTTATTTATGCAATGAAAATTTTGAATTGAATATTTTGTCATTAATTCATGGATTGACGAGTTATCAATATGTAACTTTTATGAAGGGATTTATCCACTTTTTAAGAATATTTTATTATATGATTAACATATTTATTTTCTGTCTCAATTTATATAGCCTAATTTTTTAGGTGCACCATATTTATTAATCAGCTAGAACAAAATTTGTTTTTATAAAATTAAGTTGCATAATTATTTTTATATAGTTTTTGTTTTTGTTCCTACTTCTTTGCTGTAAAACTATACATATCTAATATATAAATACAATATATCCAATATATTTGTGCATGTTAACTGAATAAAATTTGTCAAAATAATTCTGTATTTGTATCATTGTATTGTAACTCACTCCTATTATGAGTAGCATTTGGCTTTCCAGGGAAATCACATTAGACCTTTAGATTTTGTTACCTAAACCCTAAACTTATTACTAATGGATATTTAATATTTTATTTAACAATTAATGATATTAATAATGAATAAAAGTTATTTAATTTTTGAAAGTAAAAAGCTAAATATGTAACTAAAATGTTATAAGAGCTAAAATTACATATTTATAAAATTATAAAACTAAGTTTATTTTCTATGTTGAGAAAAGTGGATAAAAAATTAATATTAAATTTTCAAAAAATTTATTAGGCAAATATCACTTTAGTTAATTCCTTTTATAATATTACTTTTATTTAATATTACATAAATTTTTTAAAGTAATTTTAATACACATACTCACTTATCATATAATATTTACTATTCACTTAAAATTAGATAATTCATTATATTTCACTTAATATATATTTTTCTCTTTTATTTTTTTTTATTGTTACAGTTTTCTCACCTACATTTTATTTTAATTTTTTTTAATTTTTTTCTTTAAATATACCTAAAATAAAAAATCTGGTTAAATTTTTGAAAAAAATTATACTTTAAAATCATTTAAAATATATTCTGATTTATTTAAAGATTTATTTTAAAATATATATTTTAAGAAAACATTATACTTCAAAATAATTTAAAACATTTTTTAAGAATTATTTTAAATAATGATATAATTTAGTCTATATTTAAATAAAATACATATTTTATATTTAAATATTTTAAATTAAGATAGATATTTTTTAAAAATATAAATATTATAACGTTGACTTGATTGAAATGAAAAATAGTTTATTAATATTATAAAGAAATATATATATTAAAAATAATAAATTTTATAATGTTTGTCATAAAAAAAATATCTAATTAACTAAATAAATTATTTATAATTTTAAAAATATTAAATAATTTATTTTATTTAAAATGTCTATTTTTGTTAGATACAAATTAAATCATATTCTTAATCAAAATAAATTTATAAATATATTTTAAAATTTTTTGAAGTATAATTTAAAAAAATATTTTATTTTTTAAATTATTTGTGAGAAATTAATTATAAATAAAAAATGATAAAAGAAAAAAATAAGTACAAATAAGATATGAAAAAACATATTTTAAAATGTCATGAATATATTTAATGAGTGGTTAAATATTCTTCAGAACACAAAAAGAAAGAATTAGATAAGTAATTAAATGTTATGTTCTTTAACAAAGTGGATTAGATTCAAACACTGATAATGCAACTAAAAAAAATTGTCATGACAGTAGCAATTATTTATTGGCAGAAATTACCACCACCATCTGCGAAGCTTGCAATTTGAGTTCATTCCTCTAAGTTTGATTACGTGCAGAGTGACTTGGTCGTTTATCTTAGAAACACAGACACAGCTCCAAGACTTTCAACAACTATTTGAAGTCAAAATTAGATTCGTTCAATTGCTTTGTTTTGATGAGTAAGTACTTGGCATTTAATACTGATTTTGTTAGTTTCAATGTAGTTGAAAAATTCTATACCACTTGCCAAACCTTTAACTTAATCAGGGGAAAGCATTTGAGATTTAGTCAATTTAAAATTAAATTACTAGTCCTTAAGATGACCTTGTCAGCTTCATAAAGATAGTAGTTATCAGAGTGAGACTAAATTGAAATACTAATCATTTATTGGCTGTTAACTAATTTAGATAAAGGGCGGTAACAAGTAGGAAGCGTGATGTAAACCATGATGTGAATGATACAACACGCATTCCTTATCACACTTTTGTTAACCTAAAATATAACACGAATCAAGAGAAAATTAGAATACAACACGGATTCAAAAATTTTCATTCTGCACTTTATCCTTTGACATTAATATTTAACAGTATACCTGTGTTTGAGAAATTGAATTGGACCGAGAGCAAGAGTAATTAATGTGAAATGGACAAGTGGTTTTTGAATTGCAAAATAAATGAGTGACTTCACATGAGGCATTTAGCAATAGGCATAGAGAGAGAGAAAAGGTTGAAATTTGGCTTTTGCAGAGCATCTTTGAATCGAATAGATCGTTGTTAATTCAAAGAAGATGAGTAGCAAAGGCAAAGAGGTAGAGGGGATTAAGAGGATTGTGATCCACGGAGGTCAATACGTGCAATACAACTTGTACGGAAACTTGTTCGAGGTCTCCTCCAAGTATGTCCCTCCGATTCGCCCTATCGGAAGAGGCGCATACGGCATCGTTTGGTAGCTATGCCCGTGAAACCTTTTCCCTTTTTCTTCTTCTTTACTTCAATTAATACAACTCACTTTTGTATTCTTTTCTTTCTTTCAGTGCTGCTGTTAATTGCGATACGCACGAGGAAGTTGCCATCAAAAAGATTGGCAACGCCTTTGACAACATCATTGACGCTAAACGGACTTTAAGGGAGATTAAGCTCCTTCGCCACATGGACCATGAAAATGTAATGTAACTTCACTTTTCTTTTTCTCAGATCAATCTCTTCTTATTTATATGTCTGTTTCTCTGTTTAGTAATCAGTCTTCTTTCGCAGATAATTGGTATTAGGGATATCATACGACCTCCCAGAAAGGATGCCTTTAATGATGTTTACATTGTTTATGAATTGATGGACACTGACCTTCACCAGATCATCCGTTCTGACCAACCTCTTAACCATGACCACTGTCAGGTTTACCTCTAGTGGGGTCATTTGCCTTTTTCACTTTTGCATTCATATTTTGTTTTAGAGAAAAAAGTCATCAAAATCCATTTTCATTGTATTGCTAAGATATTTTGAAGTGATAAAGTCCATCTATGTAGGTTAAATAAATGAAACAGGCACATTCTTATTACATGAGGGCGTTATATTGTTATGTTTTTACTTGTGCTTTTGTTTCGAACTTAAGCATGGCATTGATGTTTTGTGAAACTTGTGCAGTACTTTCTATATCAGCTGTTACGGGGGCTGAAATATGTGCACTCTGCTAGTGTCTTGCACCGCGATCTTAAGCCCAGTAATTTGCTTCTGAATGCGAACTGTGATCTTAAAATTGCTGACTTTGGTTTGGCAAGGACAACATCTGAAACGGATTTCATGACGGAGTATGTGGTCACCCGGTGGTACCGTGCCCCGGAATTGCTCCTCAATTGTTCGGAGTACACTTCTGCAATTGACGTTTGGTCTGTTGGTTGCATATTTGGTGAGATTTTGACAAGAGAACCCTTGTTTCCTGGGAAAGATTATGTTCATCAACTGAGACTTATAACGGAGGTATGGGTTTTGATGCTTCCGTATGAAATTACAGGTTGCTGAAGCTTTCTAGCTATTACTAATTGAATAATGCTTTTCCTACATTTTCTTACAACACTTTTCACAACATTTTTTTTTTCTTTTTTCTCTATGCAATTGCCCATCTTATTCCACACTTCTATCTCTTCTCTACTAGTCTCTCTCCTTGTTGTGGAAATTAAAGTGAAAAAATGATTCGGAAATAACACTACTCTTGCAAGTTTAATATTGTTGGTAAGCTCTGTTAATGATATGATAAGACGATACCTTAAGCATTTTCGTGGTTTCATTTGTAAACCAATTCCTGTAATCTATATCCAATCCTTCTTCCCTTTCTACACTAGGGAATAAGGTTTACACTTCCATCTTAAATGTTGTTATTGTTAAAAAATGGAAGGATTGCATATCCTAATTTTATAGTTATGTGTAAATTAGTTGTAATTGACACACTTGTTCCGTTTTCCTTTTTCTTTAAAGTTATTAGGTTCACCTGATGATGCTAGTCTTGAATTTCTCCGAAGCGAAAATGCCAAAAGATATGTTCGACAGCTTCCATCATATAGAAAGCAAAATTTCTCGGCTAGATTCCCAAATATGTCTCCTGAGGCATTGGATTTACTAGAGAAGATGCTTATCTTTGATCCCAACAAACGCATTACAGGTATGCCACATGAATTATGTTTCAAGGATGAATTTTTAACTTGCTTATTATTAAATGTCTGTTCTCATTTTTTTTTAAATAATTATGTATTATTTTCATTTAATTCCACCAGTTGATGAAGCCCTATGTCACCCATATCTTAAATCACTTCATGACATCAATGATGAACCAGTTGGTCCTGGGAAATTCAATTTTGATTTTGAGCAGCCAACATGCACTGAAGAGCACATCAAGGAGCTAATCTGGAGGGAATCAGTGAAGTACAATCCTGATCCACCCAGTCAGTAATTCTTTCTTGAATAATGACCCCTCTGATCACTCTTGGTGTTGGGTGTACACCACACCTGGAGAGAGATAGGAAGAGGGAAAGATAAGTGATTGATATGATTGATGATGCAATGTGACATGAAGAGGGAAATAGAGAGACATGAGAGGGGTGTAATGTAAGACTATTGTTTTAGTGATGAGGGAATCATTATTATTCTTTCTTGTTAGTATAAATGTACCAGGACACTTTAAATACAGTGCCTGTCCATTATTCAGACACAGAAAGTCAGGAAGTTCCATTGTTGTAATCTAGTCCTAAAGCATTAGGAATCCAATTGGGAGTCAGGGTTTATGAAAACAATTATGATAACAAAAAATCGTGAGCCTGTCATGAACCTTTTCCTTATTATTTAGCAATAATCTTCTTCGTTTCTGGTTTAAATGTCTGGATCTAGCACCATTTGTTTCATACCCTTTTATGTCTGGGTTTTTTCAATATAGCGTTTTATTCTGGGTTTTTTCAATATAGTGTTTTATTCTGGGTTTTTCAATATAGTGTTTATTCTTGTTTCATGACTACACACTAGTTGACTATACCAGAGTTCTATATTCCAGTTATACTCAAGAGTTGGACTAACACTGTTAATCTTACAATCAGACTATTTTCAAGCTCCATATTGAAATATTGAAGGTAAAGTATTCACAATGAAAAGATTTTCAGCTCTTTATTTATTTTGCATGCTTGACTGAAATCAGTAAATTTCACCAGTCGCTGGCAAAACTGGATCCATCGTTGGGTTGTTTGCATGAACTGTGACATTCCCTTTGAACTGTCACGCATATGGAAGGCAAATGCGTCATCTTCTCTAGTCCCTGAAATTGCAATATATTGCACAATTCGCACCCGTTGAAGTCGTAGCAATACCAATACAAAATTATGAATCTCCTTTCATTACGTTGGATAAGGAGATTCCTGGCACAAGATATACAGGGAGCTACGGGGTGAGAACATGTTATGGTCTGAGCAACTAATATTGACTACGCAGTAGTCCAAGGAGTGAGTGTTTGGGCATTGTGGGTTAACCTTAGACTCAATCCTAGATCCCGCAGAATCCTTAAAATTTGTTGTGAATTAGGATAACTTGAACCAGTACCCGTGAAATATTTCGGATGTGTTCATCGATATTGCCCATCGATCTCGTATGTTGCAGAGAAAAAAATTATGAACATGGTGGCACTTGGCAGTTTGTGAAAAATTGTGAATTAGGATGAAACAGAAACCCAGTGATTAGTAGATATGGTGAAAAAAATTGGATAATCAAAACTTGATTTTCATCAGGTTTCGGGTCTTCTTTTCCTGATCAAGAGGCAAGGTTTAGAAAGAAAATACTCATTCCGAACTCAAGTCGAACGTTAAACAAGTATTAAATAAATGAATAAATATGATCCATGTTGATAGGTTATAGACTTTAACGTGTCCTGTCATAGAGCCTATTGGCTTCTGATAGAGACCAAGTCGAGCTTCTTGATTATACGAATATTTCTACTTATTTATTCTTTAATTAATATCTTTTATTAAAAAAAATTATATTTATATATTAAAATACCTAATTATAATCAATAAATTTATTTTAATTTATAATTTAAATTATAATATTATACATTTATATATTTTAATAATAAAATATAATATTTAATATTTTAAATTATAAATTATAAATTTTTAATTTTAATATATAATTATATTTTAAAAAAGTAAACGAATTAATTTATATATTCTCGTCTTTAATTCATAAAGAGCAAAATGAGTCTAAATGAATTAATGAATTAAAGATTTAGCGTTTGTATGAGTTAAAAAAATATAATGAGAAAGGATTGATTAACACTTAGTAACAAAAAATAAATGAAAGCAAAATTTACTACTTCACTATTTAAATATTTTTAGTGCAAAAGGATGAATTGGGTTTTTTATATTTTTATTTAAATTTTTCTTTTTCTTTAATAAATTTTAAATATTTTATTCTTGGAAGAGCAAAAGGGACAAAAAATTTCAACTACCAATACTATTTCTAGTTTTTGGAAACATCTAAGTTCTACTAAACACGTTTTATTATTAATATTTTTATGATGATTTCGTGTTAAAAGTACAAGTTTTTTTTTTTCGAGTAATTATTTAAAGTTTTTTTTCACTATAGTCTCTTTAAATTTGTACATAATATATATCAACGAATGAAAATGTATCATTATCCAATATATTTAAAATTAACGAACATAAAATATGAATTCAATTTAACTAAAATACTCAAAGAGAGGATAATATAAAATTTTGTTAAACTTAGTATCAAAAAGGGATTCTAGATATCATATAATTCGTCATGTTTATTAATACTTATAAAAAGATAGACATTGTGAAATATTAAAAGAAATTTTTAAGTTGTATTATGTGCTTCATAATCAAAATAAAGAATATTATTATTTTGTATAATGTACTTCATTAACTTTTTATTTACTAATTTCATGTATGGTATAGAAGAGATGTTTTTTTTTATGCGCAAAATACACATTTTAAAGATTTTTAATCTAACATTTTGTCTTGATTTTTCGAGGGGGACTCTGGGGACTCTGTCTTCACTACCGTTAAAAAGACAATGTAAAAACTTTTTACAAATAATATTAAATAATATTTATGGTAAAAAACACTTAACTATGTTTACATTATGAATAGTTTAATATACTATCTAATTTATAGTAAATTAAACAATATTTTGGTTAGAAGCGATGACGGATCTTCTTGTGAACCGAGGAGGGTCGTGGCCTCCTCAAAATTTTGTAACTTCTATGTAAATTATGATTTTGGTTCTGCAAAACATAATGAATATTTAATATATTTACTTATATATTTATAATTTTATCCTCTCAGCCTCTCTTCAATTTTGTAACTCTCATATAATTTATGATTTTGTTCCCCTCAAACTTAATGATCATTTAATATATTTAAGTATATATCTTGAATTTTATCTTTTCACCTTTTCATCTTTTTTTTATATTTATTTATTATTTATTAATAATATATTATTTGACCTCCAAGATCAATGGTTAAGATCCGCCACTGCTTAGAAAGAGACTCTATATATATCATTTACTACAACTTATATATATGCTACGTTAAGATTTTGAAACATATTTATTTATATATTATTAATCAAATTTTTTTTCATCTTTAATCTAAAATATATTTTCAAATGACATATTTTTGTCTTAATTTTTACAAAAAATTTATTATTTTTCTTATATATACTTAAATTATGTGTTGTAGTCTGATACATTTTCTTGAACTCCTAACAAATGAATTGTAATTGAGTCGTTATGTCAAATATAAACTCTAAAAAATAATTTTCATAGGATTAAAAAAATATTTAAATCTTGATTCAATGTTAAATTCAAAAAGTTCCTATAACAGGTCTTTTATTGTCAGCAGATCAATTAAAGTATATGAATACTATTATTTAGGGTTTGCTTACGTAAAATTCTCTATAAGCATTTAAAGAAAAGGAAAAGTAAAATACTTATATTTAAATTAAAACAAGTTTATCTTTTAAAACACTTATAAAAAATATCTTTTAAAAAGTTAATATAAAATTATTTATAGAAATTAACTTATCTATATATTAATTTAAGGTTTTTGAAGAGAAGTTCATTCAAATTTTCAGTTTTTTTTGAAGTGCTTATAAAGAAATTACCCAAACTGATTGTAATAAATACCTAATTGAGTTATTTTAGTTCATCAAATTATATATTATTTAATTGGAAATATAAGTAAATAACTAGTTTTCTAAACAACTATTATTTAATTATATTTTTGTCTTTCGATATCAAGTATCACAATTTTATAATTCTAGTGGTTTAGGTTGTAATTGTGCTATTGTATTTCTTAAAATTTGCTGACCGACAAACAAGTTCCTCTATCTTAATTTTATCTAATATTTATTGAAATTAACTAAAAATTGATAATGAATAACTACAATGCAGTGGCTAAAAAACACAATATTTGAACTAAAATGACCAATAAAAGAGTTGACTTATTATATTAACTTAACTGTCGTATTACTTGATTTGTATATCAATTAACTTTTAATGGTAATAATGAACAAAAGAAAAGAACAATATCTTTCTTATCAAAACTTGATGAAGGATCAAGATCCTCAGAAAACTTGAGACTTAATCTTTCTTGTTGATATGATAAAATATTCAAGGTAAACCCAGTTTATGAAGATCATTCCCAGTACAGATATGATGCCACATAATATGAACGAGGAAAGAAAAAGCGATAGAGAATGAGAAAAATTATCATAGACCGATGAAAAGTTTATGAATCTACAAACAAAACCGAAACTTCAAATGTAATGAGACTAAAAAGTAAAAACTGTAATTTTCTCTAAATATTCCCTGATGCATGAATGATACCACCACGTTACAGCTTATGTATGTTGATATGGACAGAAGATGAGGGTTAGATGCACAGGAAAAACTAACAGTAAAAGAAGTATAACTCAAGATTAAAGGAAAAGATTAAACCACTCAATTAATTAACTAATCTTATTATTTGCTAATTATCAATTTCTTGCAAAACCAGTCCGACAAGTGGCTGAAGAGAAGTTGGTAATACGAGTCCCAACTGTCCCAACCCGACATATTCCTGAACAGACATTGCCCACTTCACTGCTTGTCTATCATCCATCACAATGACATGATATGCACTTATGCAGACCAGTGCACGTCCAATCTTTCCTTCTTTCATCCTTTTCCTCGAAAGCTTGGTCCATTCATTCATGCTCATTACTTGGTGTTAGTATTTCGTTCTTTATTTGAAGTTGGACCAATCTAAGGCACAGCATAAAGTTTAAACCACTGTGGTGCCCTATCATTATGGTTACAATTTTTATACTCATGTTCAGCACAATTTTATGAAGAGTTCGGAAGCAAATTATGTTGATCGAGTAATATCTAGAGCATATATATGTTAAAAATGTACAACAGCACAGGCAATATGATCACCCTTCCTCTCCTTCATGAACTGGGTAAGAGTGAAACGAAAAAGAACAAGAAAAAAAAAAAATTCTAATTTGAACATTAAACCTAACTGAAGTGCATGGTTACTCCTCAAAAACAACACCACCAGGTTCTTCTTATCTTTCAACACTATACTACAATAATGCAGAAAAATTAGAAACATACACTACTCTTTTTCAAATTATTTCCACATATGCCATGTTCTTTTTATCTCTCTTTTTTATGTTTTTTTTTTCTAGTTATCATATCATTTATCACATTCATTATTATTATTTTTACTTTTACACTATCCAAAAAATGATCTCTATCACCATTCAAAACATGACAAACATTAATATGAGTTTTCCACCAAATCAAATTAAGAGCTCAATAAATCACAAGGGTTAAGCAAACACGGAACACATACTTTATATGAAGTAAATAGAACACATAATCTCGAGGGAGAGAGAAATTGTGTGGGAGAGTGTTTCCAGTAAACCATTTTTTTTTTCTGAAGTAAATGATAGGGGAGAAAATCTGAAGAAAGAAGAAACACCCACACCTACATCACAGTTTTCAGCTCATAATTAATTGCCAAGCTTATGCAGCTTCTAATTATTTAATTTGAAGTATAGTAATTATATTAAGAACAGATAAGCTAAGTTAGTAATTAAACCACTTCAAAAAGTTGTTTGTCGCTTAAACTATATAATCGGCTAACATATAAGAACAAATCCCTGATGATCATCATAAAAGACATATAAGACTAAACTAATGGAAGCATATTCAGTATGTTATTCAATCAGAAAGCTGAAACGAATGATTCTCAGACTAGCTTTTATAATTTAAATAAAAAAGTTCCGTGTCAACTGAATATAAATATAATCAAGGACAAGCTAGAAGATCAGCAACAAAACTGAAATGAAATTATACAACTTTAATATTTGTTTGAAGTACAACTATATAACAATAACACACTTAACATTCCATTCAAACTGATTAAACTAGCAGAGAAAGCACACACAGGTTTATTTTTCACTCATATGACCCACATTATTCACTTCCTAATCCAACAAAGGGGAAAACTTAATCCCTTATTTGATTTTTTTTTTTTTTTTTCATTTTCCATTCTAAAATCAAATTATAAGTGATTCACTCAAACCCCACACATAGAGCTACAATAAGTACCGATTCTCCTTGTCAGAAGCACCACTATCAATCAATATCGGAGAATATCACTTATCTCCAAACAAGTATCCAAGCGATGAATGACCACCAGGTACCGATTTAACTTTTGTTGATGGACGATCCTGCGCATATATATTCAACTAATTAATATATATGAGAAAAATTATATTAAAAAATAACTGAGATGATTATGAAGGTTGAGAAAATTGAGGATTAGCTTACAGTTACAATGTTTCCCAAGTGGTGGCCTTGAGATCGGTTGTTTGTGACAACAAGTTGGGTGTTAGGAGGATTAACAGCGTGAGGGAGCATGGTGTTGTCGATTTCAATGCCATAGGGTGGTAATGAAACTGTTTTTGTGGGTTGAGACTGATTTGGCTGTTCTTCTGACCCAAATAGATACCCCAAAGAGCTGTGTCCACCACCAGAACTTTCACCTCTACTCATGGCGCACGAAATTCCCTTCAAGATCTATGCATCCAATCCACACAATGTTAATTTCACTGATAACATTAACCCTAGACATGTGTATCTATCTATCGATATATAAATATATTCCCTCTGGTGTGGTTTGTTTTCTGCTTTAAGCAAAGTATGAAAATACTTAAATACAGTAAGATGGTGGTGATGATATGATAATGCACTGTACCTAATTGGCCATTATTGCGTTGATAGATTTTAAAGGATAGTGCTTACATATGTAGTTTACATTATTCTTACTACAAGGAGCAAGTGGAATGTAATGTGCGTTAAGAAATAAAGTGGATCTTCAAATCCAAACATACGATTGAATCGGTTTTCTCCGTGGCAATATTTCTTTGTTGACTATATATAATATAATTTGATATGAAAGGTATGAATTTTATGACTGCTTTAATCATTTATGTACAAGAAATTAAAGATGCTTTTTCTTACTGCGGAAAAGAGAGAGAGAGAGAGAGAGAAAAAAGAAACCCTTTTTAGAGTTTAGCCGTAGAGTTTAGCCGAAAGTATGTGATTAGTGTTGGAACAACACCATCTTTTTTATTCAAGTAAAACATCTGAACCAGTACTCTCGCACTCTCGGTTGATTTTCAGCAGCATCTCAGACAACAACAATATATGATTTAATACAGGAATCGCATTTAACGTAGATTATTTTAGATCTTTTATATCAGTTTCTTAATCGATATAAATATTATCAATGTAAAAAATGGATTACAAAACCGAAAAGTCCACCTACTTCATTCTGCATATATATATATATTGCAAATTTGTGATCCTGTGCAGAGAGTGATACACTGCAAATAAATCAGGTTTATGTCAACAACTTTTGGTTAATGCATTCGATTAATTAGTGATGTGAAATTGTAATTTATTATCCTATCCCATAATATAGGTGTTATACTTTCTTTGGCTTTAATATTTTTTTTGTTCTCGAAAAATAACCAATTTTGATTTAGTTCTTCTAACAAAATTTCTTTATTTTCATCTCTCAAAAGAGTCTCATTGATAATTTTTTTCTACTATCATATAGCATTTATTAACTGTCTATGCATGTAATAGAAAGTCAAGTAACTATCTCAAACCACACCAAATAATATTTTTAACACCATGTCAATAGTGATATTAATTTGCTAATTTATTTTATTTATCTAATTATTTATGTACCTTTAAATGAATGTCAGAGAAAAAAAAACAGGTATTTCAAATACTAGAAATGTAAAAAAAAAAATGTTTATCAAACACTACTAACATGATTAATAAAAAGTTTAAACTAAAAATATTAGCTTAAATACTTGTCAACTATAATCTCAATTAAAAAATATTCCAATGAATGCTGCTTAAAAAGTTAAAACATTTTTTCATAAAAAATGGTGTTTCATTTTGAGTATATATTCAAGTTAAATTTTCAAAATGTTACATGCATCTCTCTTAAGGCGTAGTTGGAGCTGAATTTCTTGGCTAATGATATGCAATTAAAGTAATTATTTAATTTTTATAGAAAATTACAAATAAAATGTTGATAAGTTATATGAATGGTTAAAAGAAAAGAAGAAGAATATTAAAGTTGAAGTTTCGTGACTCATGACGGACCAGCAGTAGGTTAAGCGTCAAATATCACATAACCTTTCATTAATACACAATATCCCATAATTACCCCTTAATCATTCCTCTCTCTCTCTCTCCCTTCTTCTTCTTCTTCATCTTTTTTTTTTTTTTACTTATTTTCACTAAGGAAAACTAGAGTTATTCAAAGCTTGATATCAAATAACCTATCATTTAAAACGTGAACTTTTGGTGAGATGAAACGAAAAAAATTCTCATTTACCAACTGCTATCTTAAAGTAATTTGTTTCTTAGATATTTCTGTTTTTTACAGTTATATCTATTATAATTAATTTTTTACATTCTTTAAATTTTTTACCTCATTCATTATATGTCTGTCATCAATTTTTCATTTATATTTATAACATTTAATTAATATCTGTCTCTCAAATATATATATATATATATATATATATATATATATATATATATATATATTCGAGCAAACATAAATAAAAATTTAATCATTATTCATAAAATAGAATTTCCTTATAATCTTATTACTATAATATATATTTTAGAAAGTTCTTATAAACTTAATGTATAGTACCCATGTAATACTTCGTTTTCTTAGATATAAAATTATACATACAAGTCCTAATGAAAAGAATACTTGACTTATATTTTAGAAATTAATTTTTTGTATGTTTTATCCATAATTATTAAATTTTATTTTGTGAATATTATTTGTATAAAATAATTTCAAAGTCTTGCAATCTTAATAAATATTTGTTATTATTAAAAGGTCATAATATGCATGAGCACATAAAAACTAAAAATATGTAAATATTTTTTTTATTATTAAAAGGCTTTAATGTGCATGAGAACATAAAAGTCAATATATATATATATATATATATATATATATTATTATTAATAATAATAATAATAATAATAATAATATATATATATATATATTATTATTATTATATATATATATATATATATAATTTGAACTTAATAAATATATTTAAATATTGGTTTTATTTACTGCTCATTTTATTAGTATCACGTTTAAAAATTATTTATAATAATATATTAACAAGAAATATAAAATTTTTAGTTCAATAAATATAATCGTAACTTGCTCGATATAATATGAGATAAGTTTTTCTTTAATCTCGGTGAAGACGAAAGTAATAATGAAACAGTAAAGATCATTATGAAACTATATAAAATAATAAGTTTTGAGTTGTATATAAATTGATTAAATTAAGAATTGCAACAGGTTTAATTTGCAAACAAAAACTTTGAAAGAACTTTTCATATTATACAGCTTAAAAATATATTATGTTAAAAATTATAATATTTTGAGTCTCGACTCAAACAATATTGTTTTCCTTCAAAAATAGTTAAATATAGTGTTTTTTTTTAACAGTAAAAAATGTAAGCAAATATTCAGTAAAAAAATAAAAGTACAACTAAAAACAGAAATTTCAGTAAGATGACGAATGAAATAGAGGTTGAATTCTTGTAAAGTAAACTAATATTTTATTTCCTCCAAATGGTTGCATTATAGATTCCTTATTTTAAATATTTGCAATTTAAGTTCTTCAAATATTAAACAACAACGAAATAGCCCGTATTTTGATTTAGCAAACTTCGTTAAAATCCCTATATTGATGTTGAGTTAATTTAAAATATTATTTAATACTATACTTTATTCTAACAATATATTGATAAGTGAGTATTAAAATAATAAATATTTAATGTAATATTTAAAAATAATTTACAAATATCTAAATATAAAATATACATCTGATAAAAACTATATTTAATCGTATTATATATTAACTTATGATTCATTAATGGTGTAAATAAAAACATTAAGCGTTTTATAAACCCGAACACCATGGACGTGAAGTCTATAAAAAAATCGAAATTATTGCGATGTTGCTTTTTATTTATTAGTCCAATTCTTACATTGTTAGAAATATTATAACATGTGATTAGTATACTTGTCAAGATACGATTAATGATTTATCGTTGTAAATCTCGTTGTTAATATTAATTAAAAATTAATGTCATTTCAATATTTTATCTTAACTATGAAATTGAAAGGAATTTAAAAAAAAATGGACAAGAATAACACATAAGAAATTCCTTATATTATTGGTATGTTCCAAAAGTTATAAAATAATTTGTAGATATTGTCTATGAAAAATATTTAATGTTAAAAAAGTATGCCTCTTTCCATTTAACAACTTGGTAAACATCTTATTTAGTTCAGTTTATTAAATTAATTATTCTTGCTAGCTTTATAAGAAAGCAAATAAGTTTTATAATTGTTGATAGACAAATCCAAATAGAATTAATATTTTAATTTCAGACGGTTCATATGTACATTTTTTATAGCATATTTATATTGAAATAAAATAAATGGTCAATGTAGTTGGGAAGATTTTCCAAAGCAATTGGATGCGTGTCAAAAAAGTTGATATTATATATCAATATTATATTTTTAGCACTATGTCAAATTTATCGTACGAAAGTTGTTATTCGTTAATTCAAAGAAGTACAACAAAACCATGCAATTTGGGGGCACTGTCCTACATAGTCTTTTGCATTATTAGTTCAGACATAATCATATATATGCTTTTGAGTCTTACTAATAATATTTCGGTTAAGAAAGCATTTTTTTATTTTAAACTAATTTTATAAATATTTAGTAATAATTCTTGAAAATGTGTATACAAAATATTTTTTATTAGTTTATTGTAATTCATCGAAAACGCATAATTATGAAAATTTTGTATGACTATTATTAAAATAATTGTTTTGAAAGGGGTAAATATAAAACTTTGAAAAGAATGGGTGAGTGTAAAGGAGAAGACATAAAGAGTGAAACGATGGTGGTGTTGCACTTGAATATGGATGGACCCATAGATGACATGTATTCCTCTAAAAGAAGGTGAGAATATAAAAAAGAAGGCACAAAACTCCATTGAGGGAGTTGGGTTGGTAGGGATCTTGTAGGACCTAGTATCCTTCCCAAGTTAAGCCACCCCAAACACACTCAAATATCAGCATAAATAACATGTATAATCTATATTTTATTACTTTTTTTAAACACCAACTCAAGCACACACTTTATATTTTAACTATTTTAATCATAATTAATATTCTTTCGGTCTAGGATATTTTTAATTATAAGGTTTGTTCGGTTAATTTATATATTTACAAATATAATTAATATAGTTTATAATAATAAAATTACAAATTATAGGTTGTTTTGATTTTTTTTTCAAAGTTAACCTTGCTTCGATATTTAAGATTATATATATTCATATATTAAAAAATAATATTTTTAGTTTATTTGATATATGTCAACTAATTAATTTTTTTAATAAAAATAATTA